CCCAAAGATGTTCAGAGTTTCTGCAACTATGCCCAGAAGGGCAAGAAGCAGACTGTGACTGTGGATGAGCAAGAAGGCTCTGGACACTTGGCTGCACCCTCCCAGGGATGCTCAGCCCACAAAGCTCTTCATCAGTGGCCCAAGAGGGCCAGAGAGTGGATTCCTTTGCTGCCCACCTGGACACTGCACTGAGAACCCATGCCCAGCCTGGAGAGCTCCTGGTTAGTGCTCGTGACTAACCCGGAAAGCTGGGCTCGGGGAAGCTGCCTGCCTTTCCCGGCTCAGGGTGGGGCCAGAATTGAGCTGAATATGCACCTATTCAGAAGGGCAAAGAGCCAAAAATAACGAGGAGCAACAGCATTTCATCTGACAGGCCCAGAAATAGAGCTCATTTTGGAGCATGCCAGGGCTGCCGACCCAGTGAATCCAGAGACCTTCGACATTCCCATAAAAACCCGGGGAGAGCTCTGGGGCAAAGAGACAGGCGCTTCCCAACTCCTCCCTGCAGCTGCTCAGAGCCAGGCTCTCTCTGTGGCCCCCACGCAGAGCCCCAAGCAGGTTAGGGGCTCAGATGATGGGGCTGAGGCTGAGGAGAAGAGGACGGAATCTGGTGGAATGTTCTGAAGAAGGAACAAGAGGGGACTGGTAAATGTGAAACAAAGAACAGAGCCAGGAAATGGATCTAGGGAAGGTGGAGCCGAGGGTCCTGAACAAAAATGAAAACGCTGGACAGGAAGAAATGGCACACAGGGCTTAGCCAGATTCCAGAGGTCACCTAAGCAGAGGGAGGGGAAAAGGCCACCGTTTCCTTATTGGGTTAGTGAGTATATAGCCTGAAAGCAAGCTTCTCTTCTATTTTTGCTTTCTGCTCTTCTATTTTGATATGAAAGGCAAATGTCGCCATTCATTCATCTTCATTTTGAATAACTGAAATCACAGAGAGGAGGAGGGGGAGGGGGGAGGCAAAAAGGACTCCAGAATCCCAGAGAACCTTAGTGTAGAAATAGACCAGGAGGTAACAGTGGGTTTAAAAAGGGTGGGGGCGGGGAGGGAAACAGTAACAGGAATGAAGAGGATGGGTTCCATTTAGCCAGGAGTACCTCTGAGAACCTTGTGTTTATAAGCCATGGCGTGGGTACACAGAGGTGACTGAGAAACAAGCCCTGCTTTCACGACACTTCGAGACTTGAGAGCAAACCACAATACCTGGCAGAGTTGGCCAATGGCCACAGAGAGAACTGACCAACTGTGCCCTGACCTGAGGTCAGAAGGGACTACTCCCTAGGGCTGGTGGCATGTGCCTGGGTCCTAGCCATTTATGTAGGAGAGAAGTGGGTAAAAGGGACACTTTTCACTCCCACAGAGTGCCTCCCCGACACCTCTTCCAGCGCAGAGGTCAGCTGTCTCTGTGAGGACAAATCCCTTTACCTTAAACATCCATAGCACCAATTAACATGGTTTCTAAGTGCCCATGTGGACATTGCCAGTCCGAAGGCACATTTCTGCTAACCCAGAAGGATAAGAAGAATTCAGGAGTTTTCACAGTACAATTATATTCTGGTTAAAGCCTATCTTTTATTTTTATTTTGGGGGGGGGTGCTGGGGATTGAACTCAGGAGCATTTGACCACTGAGCCACATCCCTAGCCCTATTTTGTATTTTATTTGGAGACAGGGTCTCACTGAGTTGCTTAGCACCTTGCCATTGCTGAAGCTGGCTTTGAACTTGCGGTCCTCTTGCCTCAGCCTCCTGGGCCACTGGGATCATAGGTGTGCATCACCACACCTGGCAAGACTAGCTTTTATGATGTTGGTTTCTTTCTATTTTTTGATGATAAAAATCCCTTCCCCTTCTAATAAAATTATGTTGGTAGAAGATAATATATTTTAGATGTTTAAAAAATATATTTGTACTTGACAAGCTAATAGTCGGCCGACTGCATCAGCTCCCGAAATTTGACTCATCTTAGGCCATTTCAGAGTCTAAGAGCAACTGGCCCAGGGTGCCATGCTGGGTCCAGCGAGGCAAGCTGTGGGCCTCTTTCCCTCTTCTACTTTAGGCTTCTGACTCGTCCTCCTCCTGAGCTGCCTAGACTGAGGTCCCACCCTTCCTCCAGATTCATTGCCATGGTCCCTTTCTGTGTTGGGGTGTGGGACTGTTTTCTCCTGTCTCCTTAGGGGGGACGTGATAAAATGGCTCACAGGCATGAAGGAGGCCAGATTCATTCACTCTCCCCCTGGGGCCTTTGGGTTTTAGTGCAGTATTAAAACTTAATTCAAACCAATGAATTGTAATGGTGGAATATCAGTCCTGCCACGGGGTGATGGGAGAAACATATTTATTTTTAAATACAGGATCTTCTGGAATCAAACCACACACTTCAAATGACTAACAAACCATAAGAAAAAGCAACTGTCTCACAGAGCTAAATGTCATGCTCCACTGTGAAAAGAGGTCCTGGCCTTCCTTCTCTCTGCCCTCTCCCATACAGGATTTGTCAGCCTCGGCTCCCTGGGAAGCACAGCCACCCCAAAGTCCCTTTTAGACGACTCCAGTACTTTGGAGGCCAATTTTCTGCACGCCTGTTGCTCTTGGCAGAGAGGATGGTCCTGGATTCCCAGGGCCCTGGGTGGTGCCCCATGTGCAGCAGGGAAGCAATAGAAGATAAGTAAGTGAGCAACTGGGAGTAGAGAACCAGGTTAAATATAGCCAGCCCCCTGCAGGGCTCCTCTGCATGGACAGCACTTGAGTGAATGCAAAGGCTTAAAGCCCACAAAAGCTTTGAAAACTGCAATTCCATGAATCCTGATTACAAACAACCGCAGGGAACCATTCACATTCAGACCAAGGGAGTCTGGGTGCAAGGAGGGAGCAGAAAAATTCAGGAGAAATACCCAGGAAGACAGGTGGAAACCCCAGGAACACTGCAGTGCGAAGAAGCCCCCTTCTCCTGAACCCGCTGATGAGCTTCATCACACTTGCATTAAGTATGGTCTGTATTTTGGCCTGTTGGGAAAAAAAAATATAGATAGGATCTGGGACAAAGCCACTTACTCTTTTGTTCCCTTGGACACTCAGCAGCATAAATAGTTTTCTACATTACATACATGGGAGAATTTTAAATGCTTTGTTTCTGCAGAAGTGGGACAGGCATACTGGGAACATCTGTCAAACCCCCCCCCCCAAGTATTTTCCCAGTGGCAGCTAGCTAAGAAAGGGCAGGAGTCCCCTTTCCTACAAGCCACTGGTTCTGGAAGTTGGGTCTCTGGACTCATGGGTGCTACCTGAGGGCTTTGCAGAGAGCCAGCTTCTCAAGCCCCACCCAGGAACCACTGAACCTGAAATTCTGTGGGCGGACTCCAGTCACCCATTCTAAGGATCCTTCCGGCTGTTTGGTCAGGGTGGAAGTTTGAGAAACACTGGTGTAAATACCTTGGAGTCTGTACCTGGGGGCCAGGGGCTTCACACAGGGCAACAGCTCTTAGGTTACTTAAAAAAACAAAAAAGATGTAAGGGATGACTCAGCTGCCAGGACATCGCCAGTGTTGCCAGGCCTGGGATGAGATGGCTGGGGGCACGCCCAGGCTCAGGGGACCTTCTATTCAACCCTGGGCATGGCATCTTCACCACCAGTCTAGGCCCTATTCCTGTGGTGACTTGACCCACAGTAGTGGCAACTCTACGGACTCCCAGTCTATTATTAGTTCCAAACGGCACAAATCCGCCAGTGCCAAAGGCAAGCTTCTGCGAACTTTCGAAGGTAGCTTAACTGTCTCAGAGCAGCAGCTCTGGGCCTCCAACCAGTTGTCCCAGCGGCCAAGCGCTTCCCGGACTCCAGGGCGCCCAAGTCCCTCTCCACTTGGCCACAGAACCCGGGCCGGCGAGCAGCCAGTCCCAACCTGCGTCCCTGAGGCCAAGGATGTGTCCTGGTTTTCTAAAAGCTGTTGGTGCACTTCAAGGGCCTCACCCCTTTCATTTGTGGTATGGGTACGATTGGACTGGCCTAATTAATTCATTTTCTTTTCAGTCTAAAGTGGGAGCCGGAGCCCAGGGATGCAAATCAAATACAAACCCGCTCCGGGCGCCAATACTCTGGACAATTAAAACAAAGAGCGCGGCGGCAGCGGCGGCTGCACCGCACAAAACCCTCGGGAAACATCCAGAACGTGTCACCAATCAGCCTGCAGGGTGGGGCTCAGCCCGGGTGAAAGCGCGAGAGCCGGAGGGCGGCCACAGCCCTGCAGGTGGACAGGTGGAGGTTGGCAGGGGTCAAAATCCATCCTTGAGGACTTGAAGCTGAGCCGCTGCGTGGCACAACTCCAGGGGGCACGCTCGCCCTGCGGGAATGGCGCCCCTGCCCAAAAGCCAACCAACAAAACCCATTGCACGGGCGGGAACTGGGCTGCGCGGCCGCCAGAAGGGGTGGGTGGGAGAGGGCGACGGCGAGAAGGAGGAAGAGGAGAAGGGAGGGGAGTTAGGGAGAGAGGACATGGGAGAAAGTGGGGAAAGAGGGGGTCGGCAGGAGAAGCCAGGGAGAGGAAGCAGGGCACGCAGGGAGAGGCGGGGGTCGCAGAGAGCCAGGGCGCGGAAGGGGGGCGAAGGCGGAAAGAAAAGAAAGAGAAAGGGGCCGGCTGGCGGCGGAGCGCACCGTGCCGGGGGCGGCGGCGGCCGGGGGCGGGACCCGGTCTGTCCCCACCTGCGTGGGCGCCCGCTGCCGTGAGCGGTGGGAGCCCCGGGGCCGGAGGGAGCGGCCGGGAGGCGGGCTGGGCTGGAAGGCAGAGGGGAGGGAGGGGACGGGGACTAGGAGGCGGGGAGGAGCCGGCGCTCGGCTGGGGCTGCGGGGGCGGCGACGGCGGGAGCGGCAGTGGCGGCGGCGGCGGGTCCGGCTGTGGCGGCAGGTGGCCCCGCGCTCGGCGGCCGGCCCGGCCGGGGGCGGGCGGGAAGGTGGCGCCTCGGGCGGGGGCCGGTCCCTGCACCAGGTGACCTGTTCCGGCCCGGATCCGGGCGGCCTCGCCATGCAGCGGCGCGGCACGGGGCTCTGGTGGCCGCGGCAGCAGCAGCAGCAGCAGCAACCCCCGCCGCCCGCGGTCGGCCCCCGGGCCGCAGCCATGGCTCCCCCGAGCGGCGGTGTCCCCCCGGGCTTCGGCGGCCGCCCTGCCTGCGCGCTGCTCTTGCTCTGCTACCTGGTGAGCGCCGGACCCCGCTCGGGTCCTCCCTTCTGCGCCGGGCTCCCGGGACGCGGGTGGGGTTGGCCTGGGACCCCAGCCGTACGGGGTGGGGACGGCGCTGCTAGTTTTCTCTCTTCCTTGCCGCTGCGCCGCGGGCGCTCCGGGCACCTGGGATGGGTACCGGGGCGCGGACCCGGGCGCGTGCATCGGACTTGCTTCTGTCGGCTTGTGTCTGTTGCTCTCCCTCTCAGACTCGTCGTAGACCGGGGTCAGGTCCCCTTCGGGATCCCCTGTTGTCCCCCACTCAGTCTGAAAACCTCGCTACCCGGAGATCGCTCCCCGCCCCACCGCGCACTGCTCTCCAGCCCCCTCCCAGCCTTCCTGGGCTTCCCTCTTATTTTCTCCAGGCTCCTTTCCCTCCGGTGCTCAAGTTCGGCTCTGGCTTTCAGCACCTACCAACCGCTTCGACCCTTTTTAGTTTCCACCGGGTCCTCATGGCCCGGACGGTTTTGTGCCAACGCACCTCGCGTTTCCAGCGCTCCTTAACTCGTCCGTGGTCACTCCAGCCAAGTTGCGGATGCCAGAAAGAAATCTAGTTCTTTGTAACACGCTTACCGCCAGAGTGGTGACTTTAGCTGCGTCTTGAACGTTGTCATTTCAGAGAATGTGCTTGGCTTGTGTACGTCAGTTTGCAATTTGCCCACTTCTTGGCTCCTGTTTTACTCATCAACTAAATGGCAGTAGTCTATTTTTCAGAACCAACTCATTTTAAATATCAGAGTTATTGAGACCCTCAGAACACAGTGGGGAAATATTCCTCAGTTCCTTTATGATGGCTTGCTTTCTCCTGTTTTTGAATTCTCCCAAACAATAGTAGATTTACAGAAGGCGACACCCTTGCTGCCCAGCCTACTTTATGTTCCAGGACCCTGCAGAAACCCCGGGTTATCTCGCCATATATTACTGTAAATAAATGAAATGGAAACTGCTGAATCATGAAACTGATGTAATAGGAAATTCACAGAATGTTTTTTAAAAAATTGAGCAGTGTCATTGTCCAGAATTCTTTTCACTTATGTATCATTGTCATTATCTGGAGTCTTTCTTTTTAGCAGCTCAAAACTCCCCAGGAGATACTGGCAGGGATTAGAATTTGATTCTGAAGAAATTTGCCACTCAGCTGAAGATTTTTTTTTAAACACTCTACTTATTGGATGCTTCATTTCTTGAAGCAAGAGTGTAAAAATGCAAATCGTATTTCTGCCTTTGTATCTACCTGTTGAGCAACCCATGCTTTCGCTCGTATTTCAAAATTAGCCAATACCAAATTCCGTGATTGGATTTAGTTCATGTTTTCACAAGAAGTTGTCAGTTAACATGAGTGATTTTTTTTTTTCGCCCAGAGGATATTATTATTTAATATTTATGCCACAGGGTTACAGCACACAAGCTCATAAATAAAACTGCCACAACAAATGGCAGGGTTTCAGTTTAAACAGATGATCCCTGTCCACAAGGCCCTGCTGGTTATCCAAACAGAAGCAGCAATGATGTGGTAGAGCTGAGCACGAGACATGCACGTACAGGTGGTCTGGAAAGTTCCACGTGGAAATCTCTAGAGCTGGTAAGGAGGGACCACTTCTCGAGAGTTCTAGAAATCAAGAGATACGAGTGCAAACCCTAATGGCCTGAGTGATTCTGATCCGAGGCAGAGGATGGAACAGCTCAGAAGTTCTGCACGGGCGGAGGGGACTGGAGAGAAGGGGTCACAGCGAAGGAAAATGATAGACTGGAGACATGGTAGACTGGAATGAGATAGGGACGCGGTGAGGTAGAGCTCCGGAAAGAGATTATAGAAATACTGTAATGTGGAAAATAACTAGAGCATGGACAAATGTCTCGCAGCCGGCGAAGGAATGAGTTTTGGATCATCATGGAGGGGGACCTGTCAGTGCTTTCTGCTTGTGCTTGTTTCCTTCCCAGGGGCTCACGATACCAAAGAGAGACGTTGATAAGCAAGAAGGGCCATTGTGCAACGGAATGAGAAGGTTTTGTGCACCCTGGGAAGCCAAGGCCTGACTCAGAAGGCTGTCTCTAGTTTGTTCCAGTGTCTGGCCACATGCTCGGGATTTTTGTTCTCCAGGTGTGTCCTAACTGAGGCACTTCCAAAAGGCAAGGCCTCCTGATCCCAGACAGGCTTGGTGTGTGAATTGGAGAAAATATTAGTATTGCTATGTGATGAGCACTGTGAAAAGATTGAGAAGCAATGCAGATGCATCATTGTGAACAGTCTGTTGAACCAAGGAAGGCTCCCTGGAGGAGGAAATTGTTCAGGGGGATAGAAGTGGGCAGGCGGAGGGTAGAAGTGGAGCAGAAAAGCCAGTCAGGATCTCAAGTATATGTAGACAGTGGAGTGAGAAAGCACTTCTGAAATTTGGAAGCCTAAACAAAGTAACAATAGCCTGTATTGTACTGAGTCATTTATAGGCATTATCTAATATGATTCTTAGCAACAACCTGGTGAAGTAGGAGCTTTTATGATCTCTATTCAGATAAGATAAGGGAGGCACAGAGAGGTTAAGTCATTTGCCCCAAGCCACACAGTCTGAAATTAACCCCAAATCTATCTAAACTCTAGAGCCCTGGCTTTAACCCATGCTAGTTTTTTGCCTTCTGGATTTTGCTGCATGAAACCCATTCCCCTCGTGCATAATGTATGGTCCATTAGCAAAGCTCTAGCAATTAGCTACTGTGTGGTTGGCCAGGATGTGAGGTCATTTCTAAAGTAAACTGAAATACACAAAGCAGGAAGCACAGGCCACAGAATCGAAGCAGGATGTTAGGGAGAGGGAAAAAAAAATAGACAGACAGACAGACAAACCAGAAAATGTTTGCCATCAATAATGGAGAGGTAAAGGAGTGGGTCTTTATATAGTCCCCAGGCAACTGGACGGCTAGCATTTTAGTTTGTGTGGCTGTGTGTCCCGGTGTCTAGCAAGTGTTCACTGGGATGCATTCAGAGCCAAATTGTCAATGACTTGGGGACCAGGCCCTGTTCTGTGTCAGTCTGTTCACAAGAGCTAAAGATTGAAAGTGGCTTTCTCCACAGAAAGCCTTGAGCCCCTGTCCCCTTGGGGAGCATGCCCCCAGAGTCAGGGTACCGAGGACAGGGAATCCTGCCTTTTCCACCAGCTGGGACAGAGCAACCTTCCACATCAGCCCGTGAGGACTGTGACTGTAGCTAGGATACTGCCAAAGCATGGATAATTGTGATGAGGCCTGAAAGATCAGTCACGGAACGACACCAAGCAGATTTCTGAAAAGATGGTCCCTGGTTCCAGCGACTGCCAGAAAATTCTGAGGTCACCAAAGGTCAAGATGCAGGGAGCTTCCCCCCAGAGGGTGAGGGCCTGGAAAGCAAAGGACTGGAGTGGCTTCCCTTGAGGTTCCCGGCGCTGAGAGGCCTGCTGGATGCAGGACTCGCCCACCCTGCCCCACCGACCCCACTAACACTTAGCAGCCCCTTCTGTCCACCCTGAGCTCTAGTCTCCAGTGTCTGATTTTTTTTTCTTGAGTGAGAGAATAAATCTCTTAATGGCCAATATTGATGTCAGCGGTAGAGATGAAATATTCAGAATGGACATTCGCGCTTGTTAGACAAGCAGGGGACAAAGAAATGAGGACATCAGCAGCACAGGTATATGTAAGGATCATTGCCACACGGTCACTGCATTCGTCTTGTTCAGGAACCTCTCCAAGTGGCCACATCCTGTCAGGTAGCCATCCAGGGGTGTTCATTAGCCCCCGTGGGCAATGCACAGCATAGGAAGACCCTCAGTCAGTCAGCTGCAGGAAGAATGATGTGGGCGTTTGAAATACAGGGATGACCTCAAAACTCCAAGAGCATCCACGTTCATCCTGCCTGGTGCTCCTAAACTCCATCACGGCGCTCCCATGTGCCTTCTGTGTCTTCTGGCTGCCTGTTGGCAGAAGTGTGGGAGCAGAGGAAAGATCCAGGGGAAAGGCATAAGGGAAGAGATGAAGAACCCAGGCAATTCACTAAGATGGATCAAGATGGGAATGAAAGTCCCTCATTTGAAGCCAGGGGCAAGTGGATGAGTGGGAGCATCATTTGGGTGTTTCTGGACAGAAAGATGCACATCGCCTCTGACTTTAGAGACAACCAACAAGGATTTGAATCTTGGATCTGCTTTTTGGTAGCTGATTGATGCTGGGCAAGTTGCTTACCCACTCTGAGTCCATTCCATGCCCTCAGCTGTGAAACTGGAATGCCGTCTCCCTCACGGGCCTGTGGCGGGGATTAGGTTAGAAGCGAGAATCTCCACAAAGGTGTATCTGAGAGGATGAGGCTAGATGTGGATGAGAAGAAAGATTCAACACACCTGTCCCAAGGTCCAGCACGCGGTAGGGCCTCAGTGAACCCAACCAACCTCAGTTCCTTTCTGGCGATTTGAGTTGCAAAGAAACAACACATTCAATAGCATGAGTGGGGGGATGGATCTCACACAACCGGGAATATGGATCATTTTTGTGATGGCATTTCTCTGGCTAGCCCTCAGGTTTGGGAAGGAGTGGTGCTTGACTGGGAAATGTTTCCCAAGGTACATGGTGGTTTTAAAGTCCATATTGACATCATCGTCCATTCTCCTTAATTGCATGCTTTGTTGACATAAACAGAATTTCTGCTTATGTCTAGTCAGCAGAAATAAAAAAAAACCAGGCCCTTTTAGACCGATACAATTACTTTTTTGATCCGTGGAAGTTTGATCGGGCCAGTTTGGAGAGTGCTCACGAGCCAAGGTTTTCTTAGGTGGCTGATGGGGAGAAATGGGTAGAAATGAGACACTCAATTATTGTTTGCATATCAAACCTACGCACCTACACATGTAAGTCTAAATGAACTTGCCACAGTGAGATGTGAACGATTTAAGATTTTCCAATCTCTGTTTCTTCTTTAAATAGCTCATGGGCCATACAGAGAAAGAGCCAAGTTTCCCAGCTCTCTGAAACAGGGTTATTTGAATGGAGTCTCTCCTTATTGATTTTGTTTAAAGGAACCAAATGCAGTCATCCTAGAAGTTGTTTAGGCTGTGCTGAGAATTTTGTTTTTTTCCATTCACCAGATACATAAATTCATCTGTTTTTTTTTTTTTTTATTCTCAAGATGAATTCATGCATTTAGGTCTCCAAATTTGGGTCTTCTATTATGAACACAAATTAACTGACCCATTTCTTCCCCCCCCCCTTTTTTTAAATCACAATACATACATAAAGACAAAAGAAGTCTGTTTTGTGACAGTGGGACGTCAAATTTGACTTGGTTAGGCCTCACTTCTGCTGAGCGGATGTTGGAGGGCCCAGGCGTCCTTTAGCTCCAGCTCTGTGTGTGCAGAGCAGATTAGCAGTGCTGAGGTGGGACCTCCACGTGGCTGCCTAAATGTCATCATCAGAGGGGTGCAGGGGTCCCCCCTTCACTGCACCTCTCTTGCTTGGAGCTGCAGTGCATTTGGACTGTGCTTTTAAAGCATCCTCTCGCAAAGCTGGCACAGAAATGCAGCAGGTGACATTACCTCGGTGTTTTTTCATTATCACATTAACATGGGTGAACTTGCCAGATGAACAGGAATCCAGCCGAGGGTTAGCAGGATGGGAAATGTTTAGAATTTAATTTGTATTTTTGGTGTGGAGAAATGGAAATGTTCTCGAGGGTAGTGTGGTCGTCTGAAAGGTCTGCAGGAACAAAATAGCACATCCCAAATAGGTGTGGCGGGGTGTGTGGTGTCAAGAGTGCCACCTTCCCCATTCTCAGAGTCGCTAG